CTCGGGGCTGCGTGCTGAGCGGCGGGGGCTGCTGATGGATACGAGCAGCAGAGCTTGCTCAGTGCTCCTGACTCAGGTGCAAGGCTTCCTAGAGCTCCTCCATGCCCGTTCAGTGTTTCTGTCTTCCTCCTCCTCCTGGCCAGTACATAATTATGTAAAAAGGAAATTAAATGCAGAGAGGAGCCGTTATGAAAGGGAGCATCAAAGATTTCCCTTAAAGCAGGCAGAAACCAAAGGAAGATAGATATTGTTAGGAAGACAGTGTGTTTAAAAATCAAATCAAGTCTCTCCTGGCTCATCGTGTCTGTGTGAGCGTGGCTCATTACACGGTACAGGAAGAGGCCAGTTCTGCCTCTGAACAGCCACAGTATCAGCTGCGTCACTGAGGGATGCGTGCTGGCAAAACAGCCCACAGCAGGGCTTATAAACCCAAGTACAGCCCGTGCTAATAGGTCCAGACTCCAGCTATTTCCATATGGTTCACACAGTCTCTTATGGATTCATTTAGTGCTACAACAAGGTCAATTTACCATTTTACATGGCATACATCCCTCCTCCAAGCCTCAGTCCTCCCTGCTCTTAAGACTGCAATGCCAAGCCCAGTGCAGGAAGCCAAGCCAGGCTCCAGTCTTCTCCAAATGGGTCAGCTAATGTCCCCTTCTCCTATTTAAGGAGCTGTAGAATGGCTATCCGGAAATTTTGCTTGTTTCTTCTAGTTCCCATATTAGGGTAGCTGTTGAGGTAAGAAGAATGAATACACTGGAGATCTTTACTCAGACCCAGAGCATCTCCTCCAGAGATGTTTAGGAGCGTGGTGACAGAAAGGGCTGATCTTGCCTATTGTGGTTGCAGTGAGTAGGGGAGCACTGCGAGGACTAGTAGAAGGGGAGGCAATCAGGCTAACGCCTAATTTCCTGGTTTCCATATCTATTGGGTGGGCGGAAGAAAGAAAAGCCTTACCATGCCTTGCAAGAACCATTTTACCCTGAGGGGTACCTGTTTGAAAGGGTTGGGTGGAACCTGTGTTTATTGCTCCTTCAGTGCTCAAAGAATGGACCAGTTTCACCAGTAAGCCCCCGCTCACCCAAGAGTTAGCATGGTCTGACACCACCAGCAGCAGAAGTGCTGGAGCTGGAATTTGAGGTCAAATCTAACCTTCAGTAAAGCTTGGGACAACCCCCCCTGAGATTTCATGATGGTCTGGTTTCGTTCCTTCATCATATCCCTAGCACAAGACAGACCAGATCCCAGATTAGCTGCCAGCACCCGATGACTCGGGAAGAACAGAAAATAGCACAGGGAGAAAAGAAGTAAGAACTCGGTGTACTCCGTCGGGTGAGCAGATCTGACCTGGAAAGTGCACGCTGAGAGCCTGAGCTGGAGTACTTTGTGCTGGGACAAATGGGTCGACATCAGCTCCTGAATATGCAAGTGGCAGAAGCTGGTGTTGGTATGCAGGTCCTTTGCCAGCGATTCATCTGCTACAACCACAGATATGTGGGTCCAAAACAGAATCAACGGAAGGTGGGGGAGGAAGGATGCCTCCAAAACATGGATCAGCCCGTGTCCAAAGCAGCTGAAGGAGGTGAGGTGAGATGCTCGCCCTCCAGCAGCACCTTTCTCCAGGGAATCTAGACAGAACCTAGGTGATGTGTTTAGGGTGTTTAATCCTTAGGGTTAGGCAAGAGGAGGTGGTGGGACTCTGAAGAGGATGCAGCCCTGTCCCTCGCTCACCTTAACTGTCTCCGAGATTTAGGAGAGGATGGGATGAAATGGTGGCCATGTCTCTCAGATTAGGAGGTGAAGTGAGATGCTCACCCTCCAGCAGCACCTTTCTCCAGGGAACCTAGACAGAACCTAGGTGATGTGTTTAGACCTAATCCTTAGGGTTAGGCAAGAGGAGGTGGTGGGACTCTGAAGAGGATGCAGCCCTGTCCCTCGCTCACCTTAACTCTCTCCGAGATTTAGGAGAGGATGGGATGAAATGGTGGCCATGTCTCTCAGATTCCTGGACAGCACTGGCCAGAGGACTCCCCCGATTTAAATAACATGGCGTATTTGTGGGGGGAAACGTAATATTAACGACAACAAAAAAAGCCCAGCAACCCAGATCTTCATTTCGTAATCACTCCTAGCAGATAATCCACCTCACTTCTTGCAGAATAAACCGTCCTTAACCCACTTCACCCTGAAGAGGTGCCTGTTCCTCTCCACTGAATGGAAAGGAGCACATATAACCAGCTTAAAGGAAACACCCAACTTCTAGGCAGTTAGTGAGGTGAGAGGGATTCCAGTTTTTCAGCATAAATCTCCTCTTAAAGAGGTTTCCTTTTGCTTAATTTTTTCATGTGGCTACTTTAAGACTTAATGCAATTTAGCCGAACCTCTAATGTCCTTCCACTCATGTCACGAGTGCTTTACGCAACGCTTTTGCTGGGAATTTGCCTGCGTGAGGCTGCAGTTTTCAGTGCAGGGTTTCCCCCCACAGAAAAGGACTGTCTATCCACCGATGCTGTGCCCGTCTCCTCTCTAACCCTGCTGTTGATCTGAAAGAGATTTGCAGCGTAAGCCTTCATTATGCAAAG